TTACACCTATAATCATGACATACAGGAGGCAGGAGTATCAGAAATTTGAGGCTCCATTGTGAGGTTCTGTCTCAAAAAACAAAGGTTGAGAATAAAACTCAATGATAGAGCTTTTACCTAATATGCAAGATCCTAGGCACTGCCTTCGGCACCATGCACACATACATTTCCTTCTACTTGTACCTAACCAAAAGTTTTGGATGGTTTTTGGGTAGTTGTATGGGAATCCAGTGTAGATCTTTGCATGAATGTGGTCACCAAGTACTCTACCCCATCTCCTAACAAGTGTTACTATCAAACAGGTCACTTTTGTTCTTTATGTGGTTTTTCTGTATCACACATAATAGTAAGAAAAATACCCAGGAACAAGATTGATGAAGTATCTGGAATAAAGCCAACACTTGTAAGCCAACATGCTGCATGAGAATTGAGCACCACCAGGACCCTCCAGAGTCCATGTCCTTCCAAGACCCAGCCCTTCCCTTTTTATAAACAAACAGAAATTTGGAACTGAACAGATTATTCCCTGCCTTTCTTTATTGTTATTTTCCTGTGTGTATTACCAAAAACCATTGTTTGGTTTCACCAGGTTTTATACTTTTTATGAATGGTGCCATGGTGCAGACTTTCTTCTTGGGCTTGCTATTCTCATTTGACACCTGTGCTTAACACCTCTGTGTTTATATAAAAATAGTAGTTCATTTCCATGGTTTTTCACTTCGTAGTTTTTATGAATAATACATTGCATTTCTTTTACTGCTGGGCAGTATTTGCGTTTTTTCTAAGTTTTGAGGTATTTGGGGTTAGTTGTGGATTTTGATTTGGTTTGATTGTTTTGCTGTAAGTACATGCTGTTGTGAAAATTCTTAGGCATTTGTAGAGGTTTCTTTAATATGGACCTGGGAATGACTCAGTAATGTCAAAGTGTCTCTGAAGTAGGGTTACCAGCAGGACCTGGGGCTCCTCTCCTGCCTCATTCGAAAAGTTCTGGGCATGTGGAGGTGAAATGGTCTTGATTGCATGTGTGTGCTGTGTTTATGGGCCATTCTTTTTAGTTGCTTTTCTTACTCATTTGCAAGAAGATATCTTTACATATATGAATATGAATCTTAGTGTGTGTACTGATACTCTCTTGGGGTGGGGTGGTTTTGTTGACTGTGTGCTGCAGCTGGAACTCAGAATCATGTATATGATAGGCAATGCTCTTCTGCTAAGCAGTATGCTCTATACTGTATTGTAAGGTCTACATGTTTCTCACTCTACTGAACCCCCTGCATGCATGAGCCTTTTTGTGTCTCCAACAATTAAGAAATGTTTCCCAGTTTTCAGATCATAAAGTCTTGTATTTCCTACTGAATGTTTCAAGATTTGCTTTACATATTCAAGTCATTAACCCAGCAGGATTAGGTTTTCTGTTGGGTAGTCAGAGACCTTGGTACTTTGTTCTTTTCCTTTACTGTTATGAGGAAACTTTCACTGCCTAATCAAGTACCATGAAAAATACAAATGGGGTTTTGAAATTGCAAAGTTTTGACACTTTTCACTCTCAGAATCATGTTATATTTGATGATCTCCAGTCCTTATTCCATCTGTAATAGATTAGATTTTATAATTTTAATAGGTTAGATTTTATAATTTTATGCCCAAAAGGTTTTATACTTTTTTCTTTACTGTTTCTTGTATAATCTGATTTATTTTATTTTTTTAATTGCTATGCTCAATGATACTTTGTTTTTAACTGGCAGTTTCTGTTTATTGCTGATTTATGGATACTAGGGGCAGGAAACCCCTCCCATCCAGCAGGAGCTCTGTGGAGGTGCTGTTTTCAGTCCTTTGCCTGTCATGTAGCCAGTCTCTGATAATGTGAACTAACATACTATGAAGGAGATGTGAGGATCAGGAGCTAGACCAGCATACATAGTCCCTGGGCCACTAATAACTTTTTAAATAATTGTCTAATTATTTTCAGATTTCCTAAGAAATTAATCACATATTAGTTAATAAAGATACATTTTTTTCTGTTTTCAAATCGTAATGGCTTCAGTAGAAAATGGGCACCTAGTGATATACACATGATAATGTGTTAATAATAAAAATCCAGACTCAGATATAGTGGTTAATGCTGGAAAATCAGAGAGGCAGAGCAGCCAGCACAGTAGAGAATTCTTACCTCTACCAATGCTTAGACCAAAAGGGCGAGCCTGCTCTCAGACTGCCTCCTCAGACTTCATCCTTAGACTGACTGCCTAGGCTGTACCCTTCCTCAGACTGCACTGAGCTCCTGTCTTGTATCCCCTTCTCCACCCAACCATGTCACTCCTGTCTCCACCTCCCTAGTGCTGGGATCCCAAGTACTGGGATCCCTTTGTGTGAGCTCTGTTTATCTTTCAGACAGAGTCAACCTTGTATAGCCCAGGGTGGTTTTGAACTAACACAGATCCCTCTGCCTGTCTCCCAAGTCCTGGGATTAAAAGTGTGTGCCACCACTCCTTAGCCCCTAGTGGCTTAGCTCTGCATTCTGATCTTCAAGCAAGCTTTATTTGTTAAAACAAACAAAATGCCACTACAATAATGGGCACTCTAATGATTCATGATTTTAAAGAGACCACTTTGAACTTTCCACTTTGAGAATGCTGCTGAAAAGTTCTACGGTTTTGGGTGGCTAGGGGTTTCCAACATCCAGTAGGAGGGGCTACAGAGTTTTATAGAGTGGATTTGTTGGCAGCTTTGGCATCTATTGAGATGAAAGGGTTTTTTGTTTATTCCTTTAGTGTACTAATACAGTAAGTTACATTATTTCCTAAAGTTGAGCCAACTTTGTAGTCCTGGAATCAACCTTAGTGTATCATGATCATTTCTGTACATTATAGATTTATTATGCTGATTGTTCGTCAGTGAGACTATAATTTCCCTTTTCTAGACTGCCGCCTCCTGCATTTAGTATTAAAGATATAAGCCATTATGTGGTCTCCATTTGCTCCAAGAGTCTGCTTCATGTTGGAATGATCTACTCTGAGTATTCAGAAGACACCATTGAAGCCATATGGGTCTCAAATTTTCTTTGTTGGAAGCTTTAGACAACAGATTTAGTGTATTTTAGTTGTAAGATTTAGGTATTATGTTACTTTTTTGGTCGGTTTTGACGAGTTGTGATTTTTCTAGGGATTTGTTCATTTAGAATACCATTTGCAGTATGCTTTGTACCATTTTAACGTCAGCTGCATCTGCCCACTTTTTTATTTTTTTTTTTTTTTCTTTTATTCTCCTTTTCTCCTAGGACTTTTACTAGAGATGAACTGGCTTGATATTCTTTTTAGTAAATGAATCTTATGCTCTCCACATTGTTTTCCCTTATCCACTCTCAAGTCTTTCTGTCTCAAACTGGGGATTAAATCTGGGGCTTCACACAGGCTAGGCAAGTACTCTCTACCTCTGCACTATGTCCCCATGTTTGTTTGTTCCCCACTTTTTATTTTGAGGCATGGTTTCAGAATGTTGCTCAGGAAACCTTCAAATAATGTGCTTACCATCCCCTCCTACTGCCTGCCAAGAAGCTGGAATAGAGGCCTGAGCACAGGTATAGCTTCCTTCCACTCTTTAAAGGCTTTTTTTTTTTTTTTTTAGGCTAGCCTGATCTACAGGATAAGTTCCAGGACAGCTGCAGCTACACAGAGACCCTGTCTCAAAAATAATAATAATGGATTTTGTTGTTGGTATTGTTTCTTTTGTGATACTTCGCATGGACCATTAATCTTTATCCTGCCTTTTCTACTATAAACATGCAAAACTACAAAGTTTCTTGTATGTTCCACTATAGCTCCAGCCCATACATTTTGATATTTTCGTCAACATTAGCATCTGGCAACATTAGCCTCTTCTGATTTGCATTTCAGTTCTCCCTTAAAACTTTGAATTATGTACAAAGACATGCACATGTGTATATGTAACTCCATGGAATTATTGATTTCTATTTTGCTTTCTGTTAACTTTATTTTTGTATATGGATGTTCTTTCTGCATGTATGTCTGTGCACCGCTTATATGCCTGGTGCCCTCAGAAATCAGAAAAGGGTTTAGTCACCCTTTGTCTGGATCCTCTTCTGCCACGTTCCCTTGGATGTTAGTCTTACTTGATTCTCTTGCATTTTCTTCTTTGAGGGTAGTCTCTGATTGAGGACAACCTGGTCTAGAGTGAGTTCTAGGACAACCAGGGCTACACAGAGAAACCCTGTCTTAAAAAACTAAAAGAGCCAGGCTTTCGTGGCTCATGCCTTTAATACCAGTACTCAGGAGGCAAAGACAGATGGTTCTCTGTGAGTTCAAGGCCAGCCTGGGCTACAGAGCGAGTTCCAGAACAACCTTCAAAGTTACACAGAGAAAACCTGTCTCAAAAAAAACTGGATGTGCCATCATACCTGTTTTATGCAATGCTGGGGATTGGACTGATAACTCCTTGGGCTAGGTGGGTACTCCACCAACTGAATATAATCCCCAGCTCCTCACTTCATCCCCTAATTGAATTGCTTTCTTTTACCTCTGGACTTTCTTTTAAGCTAATGTGAATACATAAGGAAGGAGGGGTTAGACCAGGCGGTGTGCATGCTTTTAATCCCAGTGCTCAGGAGGCAGAGGCGGCAGATCTCTGTAAATTTGAGGCCAGTCTGGTTCAAAGCTATACAGAGAAACCCTGTCTCAAAAAAAAAAAAAAAAAAAAAAAAAAAAAAAGAAAGAAAGAAAGAAAGAAAGAAAGAAAAGGAGGGGTTAAGACAGGAGAGTTCAATTCTGTAATCCTGTATTATATACAAGTGACAGCAGGGCTCCAGGGCAGCTCAGATTTACCCTTGTGTCAGCACTAACTCTAAACATGTCTGTGTGTTCTTCCTTCTCACCAACCTAGGCACCCACTGCCATAGCTTTTCTTTTACTCTTGACCCTAAGGATCTCCTTGATCATATACATCCAGCTCAGGCCTAGGGGACTCACATGTTCTCCTTCTCCTAGGCTCCGGAGCCCCAGTTCCTGCCCCTGACCTCCTGATGCAGATCAAGCAGGAGGGGGAGCTCCAGCTGCAAGAGCAGCAAGCTCTAGGTGTGGAAGCCTGGGCAGCTGGACAGCCAGATATTGGGGAAGAGCCCTGGGGCCTCAGCCAGTTGGATTCTGGGGCAGGAGACATCTCCACAGATGCTACTTCTGGTAAGTAATTGAGACTGGGGAGCAGAGTCTGGGATGGGGGTAGAAGTTGAGAAGGTGCCTAAAAGTGTGAGCTCTTAGATCTAGCCTAGGGGTTGCAAAGATGGCTCAGTAGTTAAGAGCACTAACTTCTCTTCCAAGGACACAGGTTTAATTCCCAGCACTCATGTGGCAGCTAACAACTGTCATAAGGGAATCTGATGCCCGCTTCTGGGCTCTGAGGGTATGAGGCATGCATATGGTGCACAGACATTCATGCAGGCAAACACCCATTTGTATAAAATAAAATACCTCTTTTTAAAAAGAAGAAAAAAATCTGGCCTGACAAGCAGTTGTTCAAACCTACTTTGAGACCTAGCCTCTTGGAGAAAGGAGAGAAGGAAGGAAAAGACATTGGCTTCAGAGAGGCCAAGGCACATGGTCATTTAGAACAGGCCTTTCAAGGGCTTCACTGCCCTGCCCTTCTCCCTCAGTCTTCATGCTCACTGTTCTCCCATGACCTTGCCCTTCCCTAACCCACAGACTGCAATTTCTCTTCCTTACAGGTGTCCATTCCAACTTTTCAACCACCATCCCACCCACTTCCTGGCAAGCAGACCTCCCTCCCCACCACCCCTCTTCAGCATGCTCAGATGGGACACTGAAGCTCAACACAGCAGCAGCCACAGAAGGTACAGGAGTGGCAGGAGAGGAGAGTGAATGCCTGGCCTGGGAGCCACTGAGTCTGATCTTACAGCTCCCTGTGCTTTCTGCTCTCTTCTTCAGAACTCTCTGTTTCTTGAGGATGCCCATGCTTTTTATAGATGTCAGTTCCTCTCATATGGAGTTAGCCAGTAAAATAAGCTGATTTCTTTGGAAGACTGGCCTCCTCTTCTCCCCTAAGCAACCTGTGGCTCCCATGGCACAGATGCACACAGACTAAACTAAAACCACTTCCTAGATATTGGTACTGCCAAAGACAGCGGAAGCCAGAGTTGGAAAGAACAACTCTGACATTCTTGTATTCATTATCTTGTTTGAAGGCCAGTTAATCTGTTACTTTAAATTACTGTCATCTTTTACCATTGCTACACCCAAAGGCACTAAGAATCCAAGGTCCCTGATAACAAGCCTTGGGGTTGAAATTTAGTGTATTTAAGTCAAACAGTTCTATTCATTCAATAGCATTTTGATCATCAGATAACTGCAGTTACTGTGTACCAGATGGCATGCTGAGGTACCTTTAGATGTGGTGTCCAGGCTAATCTTGTAGCCCTGTGAGGTTGGGTATGCGTAGAGGAGCTGTGGTTAGGAAATGTGCCTGACAGACAGGTGTACAGAGCCGCAGATGTTGGAGGCCAAGCTTGTGCTTATGCCTTATTTTTAGTACACAGCCATCACACTCAGAGTCTCTTTCTTAGAATAAATTCAAAGAAACAGAATACTCTGGGGATGTCACCGGGCCTTACAACCAAGACAAGGTGCTCATTTGAGCGGTGGTACTCCATGGCGCTGACCAACTGCTGCGCCTCCAGGTGAAGGCACTGGCCATTTATGTCCTTTAAAAATGTTCAGAATGATCTCTGTTCTTCTCTCTTCTCAGCAGACGTAAAAATTGTTATCAAAACAGAAGTCCAGGAAGAGGAAGTGGTGGCCACACCTGTGCATCCCACCGACCTGGAGGCTCATGGGACTTTGTTTGCACCGAGCCAAGCTGCAAGATTCTTTCCCAGCCCTGTCCAGGAAGGAGCCTGGGAAAACCAAGGCAGTTCCTTTCCCAGCCAGGACCCTGTGCTGGGCCTACGGGAGACCACACGGCCAGAGAGGGACATTGGTGAGCTCAGTCCTGCCATAGCACAGGAGGAGGCCCCAGCGGGGGATTGGCTCTTCGGTGGCGTCAGGTGGGGCTGGAATTTCCGGTGTAAACCTCCAGTGGGCCTAAACCCGAGGACGGTGCCCGAGGGGCTCCCTTTCTCCTCTCCTGATAGTGGAGATACCATCTTGGACCCCAGCCAGGCCCCAAGACCCTTCAACGACCCCTGCAAATACCCTGGCCGGACAAAAGGCTTTGGTCACAAGCCGGGACAGAAGAAGCACCCGGCAGCGCCGCCTGGAGGCCGGCCCTTCACCTGTGCCACGTGCGGAAAGAGCTTCCAGCTGCAGGTGAGCCTGAGTGCACACCAGCGCAGCTGTGGACTGGCGGACGGGGCAGGCATGGGGGCAGCTGCCACTACTACTGGAGGCGGAAGTGGTGGTGGTGGGGGCAGCGGTGGAGGTGGGGGCAGCGCACGGGACAGCAGCGCCCTGCGGTGCGGTGAGTGTGGCCGCTGCTTCACACGTCCAGCACATCTCATCCGCCACCGCATGCTGCACACTGGGGAGCGGCCCTTCCCCTGCACTGAGTGTGAGAAGCGCTTCACAGAGCGCTCCAAGCTCATCGACCACTATCGAACGCACACGGGCGTGCGGCCCTTCACCTGCACAGTGTGTGGCAAGAGCTTCATCCGCAAGGACCACCTCCGCAAGCACCAGCGCAACCACCCGGCAGTGGCCAAGGCACCCACTCACGGGCAGCCGCTCCCCCCACTGCCAGCTCCTCCCGACCCCTTCAAGAGCCCGGCAGCCAAAGGACCCATGGCCTCCACAGACCTCGTGACTGACTGGACTTGTGGCCTAAGTGTCCTGGGACCCACTGATGGTAATGGGGACCTGTGAGAGAACCCACAACCCTCCTGTGGCTCCTGCAGGCCACAAGTGTACAAAGCCCCGTGTGCAGACATCAGGGTGGCCTGAAAGCTCAGAAGCAAAAAGGGAGACTTGGCAGAGAATCAAATTCCCATGTTGCTGAACTGATCACTGGAAGGAACTATCAATGCAGCCTCCACCTTAAAGAGTGTGGGATTCCGACTGTGAGACTGAACACCTTAGTAGGATCTTAAGTAATTTAATTACAAACCCATTCGTTATTGTTTTTTTCTCTTTAATTCTTGAGGAAAAGATGGAAAACAGTAGCAGCACCTGTTTAAGTTCTGAGGTGTACTTGTGGCTTTCAGGGTTGTGTCCACCTTGTCTTAGCAGGGTTGGAAAGGTAGTCAGTGGGAAGAGTAGACAAGGGCATGCCAGACCTTGGGCCACACAGTTCCATGGCAGGTAAGTTCTGTTCTATCCAGGCTGCTGGCCCTGAGTTATGAGGGCACTGAGGCCTGTACTGACAGCTTCTGCTCCACAATAAGGACTCCTTCGCTAGAAGAGCGCTTACTTTCTGAAGACCCCTAACGCCCAGGCCTGACTTTTCCCTGTTGTGAGCCATCTGTGGTGCTGTCTAAGGTGGTACTTACACTGTAGTAGTGGTAGATCTGGAGGAACATGAAGTCACAGAGAGCCAGGGCCATCCATCTTGGGGTATATTCCTCACCCACGGATGCTTCTGTTGACTGCCCATTGTGTAGTATGCTCGTTTTCAAAATGGCTCCACCTCACATCTCATTCCATTACTATGACTTTGGGAAGAGAGAAGAAATAAAGGGCTCAAAAGTGACATGGCCTCTCACCACGAGTGCTGTGTGTTCCAAGAACTGGGAACAGTGTCGGTTGAGCCCCAGCTCTCGTGGAACATCAGTTTAGGGGAGGAAAGGGTTTGAGGTTTTGCCCTCTTAAAAGATTTGTTCCACACAAATGGATCGGATCATCGACACAGAACTGCCTTGGCAGCTCAAGCTGGCCAGCCCCCCCCCCCACCACCACCACCACCCCTGTGGGCTTCCGAATCACTAGGCACTCTGAGGTGTTGGAAAGCCAGGTAGCTGGGTAAGTGACTTTCTCAGGCTTTCCTGGGTTATCTGCGCAGTGGAATTAGAGCTAGGTCCAAGTTTCTGTCATAACAGTGCTGCCTTCACCACACATAGCCATTCCCGTTTTGTTAAAGCAGACACTTGTCCTCTTGCCTGAAAAGGGCAGAGGCTATGGCGCCCATTCAGTTCCCTTCTGCGTACTTTTATTAGAAATAGACTAGTTCAGAAGATTGTTTCTATGTACTGTATATTTTGTACCTGTTTACACTTCTAATATTGATATAACTGATATTTTGAAAAAACAAATGAACAGAAAACATCCTGTTAAAATAAAATCTAACCAGCACCAAGACTGTTTGATGGATTCCATTCTTAGACATTCGGTCATTTTCCTGCTGCTTCTAAACACTTCCAGGAGGCCATTCCTCAACCCCCATAACTCACACTTGGCCACAGACTATAAACAAAGTTTATATGGTTTAGTTCACTTTGAGATAGTATTCAAGAAGATAGGATAGTCTTGGAGAAAACTATGGGATATCAAGAAAGTGGATGCAAGCTATTGAGTTCTCCCACTCGTCCTTGTCTGGGGAGGTAGCAATACTTCTAGCGTCCTGGTCTTGCTGCCTCCAGTAGCATTTTTGCCATCACTGTTGATATTTTACCTCACAGTTTTGGCTTCTTTTGTCTTGATCATAATTTTTTAAGGAAAACAAACATTTTTTGGGCTGAAGAGATGGCTTAGCAGTTAAGAACACTTGCTGCTCTTTCAGAGGACCCAAGTTCAATTCCCAGCACCTATGTTAGGTGCTGTGCACCTCTTGTAATTCTAGCTCTAGTGGATCTGATAACCCTGGCCCCTGAGGACACCTGCACTCATTATCACACACGCCCACACATATACACATAATTAAGAATAAAGACGTATTAAACTTTTTATTTTTCTCTTATTTCATATTTTTTTCCATGAATAATGAGACAGAAGGGATGGTTCACTACTCACTATCTCACTACAGACAGGGCTTTTCATAGTGAGACCCTCAAAACAAAAGAAAAACCAACGGAAAATAACTAAGTTCTTTATATGTGTGTGTTTATTTAAGTTCATGTACACCATGTGTGTGCAGCTTCCCTCAGAAGTCAGAAGAGGGTATTGGATCTCCCTGAAACTGGAGTTGCAGGCATCTGTAAATCACCACACTGGTTCTGGAAATCAAACTAGGTCCTGTACAAGAGCAGCAAGTGCTTTTAACTGCTAAGCCATTATCTTCAACCTGTCTATGATGATTTTTTTAACACTCAACTCTTGTACATCACTAAAGGTCTCACTGCCACAGAGGCCCCATTCCATCCCTTACATTGCTCCAGGGGACTCTTCTGCTTGAGAAACCTGGTCACTACTGCTCCCTGGCTAACAAAGGATTCTCCATTATCTGGGGGGGGGGGGGGAGTGGGATGGGCTTCATTGTATTTTTCCCATGTCCCATTTGCATCTCACTGTAGACAAACTGAGCACTAAACTCCATGCCACAGCCAGTGTGAACAATATCCACCTTCCCCTTGTACCCTGTCCACCTGGTACCTTCCTACCTCCCCTTGGGTCTTGGCTCAAAGACTCATCCAGCCTCCTCTGGTCTCTGCCAGTGGAGCTGACACCAACCCTGCATTTTTCCAAGACTCCTGTGTAGACGCCATCTGTCACCTTATCCAACCCTTTCCTACTATGTAGATGTCTATGGAAGTTGCCCATTTAAAAACAAGGCAATAGGCTTACAAACATAGCCTTTTTTTCATTGACAACTGTAAGACAGTTCTAATTTGGGTGTAACTGACAAAATATCCCACAATGTAACATTGCTTAAAAAATATTAAAAGACCATCTAGATATTAATATATACTCTCAAATAATTTCTATGTTATTTTTAAAATGGGGATGGGGGTATCAAGTATGGTAACTCACATTTATTAATCCCAGCATTTGTGAAGCTGAGGCAGAAGGATCACTTTGAGTTAAAGGCCAGCTAGGCTACATAATGAACTTTCTAAGCCAGTCTGGGCTGCAAAGTGAGGCTATTTCAAACAAGTGGGGGAGGGAGCTCTGGAGAGATGGCTCAGTGGTTGGGAGCACTTGGTCTTGAGAGGACCTAAATTTAACTCCCAGAATGCTCCTGGTAGCTTACACCCATCCATAACTCCAGTTCCAGGAAATCTGACACCCTCTTCTGACCGCCACAAGTACAGAACATACACACCGTACACATACATGCATGCAAAACACTCATACACATAAATACATCTAAAAAAAAACTTTCTAAGTAATAAATGCAGATATTATGAACCATTTGACCCAAACATATTGCTGATATGTGTATCTTGAAATTCTGAATAAGACTTAATAAACAAGCTTTCAAATACAAAGCTAAGACAAAAAATAAAGGGAAAGACTATATGCCCAAGATGAAGACAACTGCACGCCCAAATTAAAATCATAGAAGTCTCTGTTGTACCTACCTTGGGTTGGATGGATCTGGAGAAGGAAATAGCTGTAAGTCCAAGGCAAAACTGGACTCCATGAAAACTTTGTACACCTTGTACACCATGTCATCAACACATATGAGGTTCAAAAACACATCCCGGCACCATGATACCATGTGACAGGTCCTCTGGGAAACAAATGCTGAGACAGTTTGAAGTACAAGAAGTTTACCTGTGGAAGATGAAAAGAGGAAGCTTAGATCTCAGGCCACAGGCAGGTGGAGCATCTGTGGAAGGAAGGGGGAAAGAAGCAGGTTGGAAATCAGGAACAAGACAGGACAGAGAACTGGCAGTTTCAACCAGCCCAACAAAGTGATCTAGAGTAAATGCTGCCCACTGAAGGACCCTGCCCTGGACAGAAATGAGCAGGCCCTGACCCCCAGCTATTCAGTCCCTGTCAAGCAGAACAGCAAAGTCAAGGCATTTCCCAAAGGTGTTCACAGGCAGAGCTGAATGGCAAGCTCCAAAACTTTGATCCAAGTTGTGCAGCGACATGGCTGGCACAAATGACAACAGCTTGTCCATCTCAAGCTGGGGAATTCAAACCCAGAACCAGAAGCAGAACTAGGCGATGGTGGCACCCTACACTTGGGAGGAAAAGGCAGGTGGATATGTGAGTTCAAGGTCAGCTTGGTCTATAGGGTAACCCAGGACAGCCAGATAAGAGCTACACAGAGAAACCCTGTCTTAAAACAAACAAACAAAACAGCAACAAAAAAGAAAATGACAGCTTGTATCTGCTAGTACCTAGCAGGTTAGGGTTCAAATTTACATTATCTAAGGGGTTGATAAATGGGCCTAAAAACTGGACAGACAACAATGATATAACTGAAGTTAGCTTCCAGGTGAAGCAGGGCTGACCACAGGAGGAACCACCCCAGATTATAAACCTTAACCCTGCTCAATATAAACACACAATCACACAGTACAAAAATAGAAACAGCTGAGAGGTGATGGCACAAGCCTTTAATCCCAACACTCAGGAAGCAGAGGCAAGTGGATCTCTGTGAGTTCAAGACCAGCCAAGGCTACACAGAAAAACCCTGTCTCAAAAAAATTAAAACAAAGCAACCATTAATAAGGAATACTAACAGTATAATTAAGTATCCAAGAACTCTAATTCATATAAAGATATTCCTAAAGCCAGATGTGGTGACTCACCTTTAATCCCAGCTCTTGGGAGGCAGGAGCAGGTTCTTTGTGAATTCTAGGACAGCCTGGTCTACATGGTGAATTCCAGAACAGTCAGAGCTACAAAGTTTAAGACCCTGTTTTTAAATGTGTGTGTGTGTGTGTGTGTGTGTGTGTGTGTGTGTGTGTGTGTGTGTGTGTTCCTAAAGATAATATGACTTGTTTATATTGTATAAAACTAACAGCATAGAGGCACAAAGTAGAACATGCATAATCAATAGAAACCACCAAAACACAATCAATCAATCTTTTATGCAACTGTGAACCCTACAAGCTACAATAAAAAGCAGCCTGGTAAGATATGTTTCCTAGTGTAACAGTGGTATGAATGTCATAGGAGTAACTGACCCCTTTCTGGTTGGATTTAAGACCCATTCCACAAGATGGAACCCATACCGGGTACCATTATAAAGTTAAGAACCTACAGCTAGACTGGCCATAGGCTCTAGAGAAGAAAATACTTTTATTCTGCTAAAGGGACAGAGTATTAAACTGACTCCTAATGACTTACTGTTTGTTATACTCATAGATTAGTATATCAAACCTCATCAAAGAAAGCTTTTTGTTTTTCCTTTTAGAGTGTATAATAATTAACACAGAGACCCACATTTGGTAAAAGCACAGAGAATAAGGAACTATAAAGTGTTTGCCTTAAATGAGACATTTTTATCACTCTCTTCTCCTACCAAGGTTCAGGGATCACAGTAAAAGAGCGGGTGGAGGTACAAGGATTCTAAGAGCCAAACTTGGTAGATGACTACAAAAGAACCCAACAAGGCAGTTGCACATATGAATTCATAGCAGTTAGGAAAGCATATTCAAGAACTGTGAAATCTCAAGCCAAACAAAAATTCCAGCATAGAGGGAGAAGGTGGGCACAAAGCTACCCCTTGCTGAGTTGCTATTGGTAATAGACAGTTGCTAAAAGGAGAGTTAGCTTTCTTTAACAGTATGGTCCCTGGTAGGTTAAACATACTACAGGGATAGCCACACACTCAAAACCATATCAACAGTGCTAATAGGACTGAACTTTTTAAAATTGAGGACACAAAGTTGGGTGGACATGGAATTAGTTGTGGATTTGAGAGGAGTTGAGAGGGAATATGATCACAATACAATGGGAAATTTACAATTACATATATCAACATACTATGAAGAACAATGTACTTTTTTTTTTCTTTTAATTTCTAGACAGGCATGATAGCCCACACTTTTCTTTTCTTTCTTTCTTTCTTTCTTTCTTTCTTTTTTTTTTTTTTTTAAGATTTATGAGTGTTCTATCTGCATGCACAACTTTATGCCAGAAGAGGGCATCAAATCCCACTATAGATGGTTGTGACTAAGCCACCATGTGGTTGCTGAGAATTGAACTCAGAACATCTAGAAGAGCATCCATTGCTCTTAACCACTGAACCATCTCTCCAGTCCTTTAATGCTAGCAATTAGGAGACAGTGGCAGGTAGATCTCTAAATTTGAGGCCAGCCCAGTCTACATATGGTGTTCCAGACCAGTCAGGGTTACATAGTGAGACCTTGCTGCAAAAACAAACAAATAAATAAATAAGGTATTTCTAAAAGTAAAAGTATGATGTCTTATTAGGGTTTCTATTGCTTGGATGAAACACCCATAACCAAAAAGCAAGCAGAGGAGAAAAGGGCTTATCAGCTCACTCTTCCACACTGTAGCCCATCACTGAAGAAAGTCAGGATAGGAACTCAAACAGGGCAGGATCCTGGAGGCAGGAGCTGATGCAGAGTCCATGGAGGAATGCTGCTTACTGGTTTGCCCCCCATGGCTTGCTCATCCTGCTTTCTTTTTTTGGTTTTTGGGTTTTTTTGTTTTGTTTTGTTTTTTGAGACAGGGTTTCTCTGTATTGTTTTGGAACCTGTCCTGGAACTAGCTCTGTACACCAGGCTGGCCTCAAACACACAGAGATTCACCAGCCTCTGCCTCCTGAGTGCTGGAACTAAAGGTATGCGGCACCGATGCCCCGCTTCAGCCTGCTTTCTTCTCAAACCCAGAACCACATGCCCAGGGATGGCACCATCCACTATGGGCTGGGCCCTCTACCATCAATCACTAAGAAAAAGCCCCACAGTTGCATCTTATGGAGGCATCTCAGATAAGATTATCCTTTCAGATAACTTAAGCTTGTGTCAAGGGACATAAAACTAGTGAGGACATACTATCAGTCACCGAACTTGGAAGAAAAAAACTTAATGGAGTGACTAAGTAGCAGAATCAACTCTAGCTGAAAAGAAAAATCATGGTCATTCCTCAGTACTGGGAAGGACTCATTCAAGAGCCTTTACCCCATATCATTTGTATACAACCTATGCACATCCTCTCAGACAGCTTAAACCACATCAATATTACTAATAACATCTAATACAATACAAAAGTTATACAAACAGTTGGTATACTATATTGTTTAAGGAACAGTGACTATTTTTATAGACTATTTTATGTCTAAACCCACAAATACTGAGAACTAACTGTAGTTACATCAAAAATAGATTAAGAGAGAACCTAAAATGAAGAATAGAGAAAATGATACATGGAAATTATTATGCTAAAACACAAACCAGACCAGGTGTTGGTTCCAGGACAGGCTTCAAAGCTACACAGAGAAACCCTGTCCAAAAAAAAAAAAAAAAGTGTAGTCAGACTTTCCTTTGGGTCGCCAGCTCACAAATAATGACATGGAGACTTATTACTAAGCATGGCCTTAGCTTAGGCTGGTTTTTAACTAGCTCTTATAGCTTAAACTAGCCCATCTCTATTTATCTACATCTTGTCACACACAGAGACAAAAACATCAGGATTTTAAGGCCATTATCAGTACATACTAAATTTAAGGCTAGCTTAAGCTACATGAGCTTCTATCTCGAAAAAAAAAATAATTTAATAAAATTAAAATTTTAAAAAGAAACAAAAAGATGGATACCAATTTCATTTAGACTTTTTCTGAGACAGCATCTGAACCATGTAACACTAGCTAGCCTGGAAATCATTATGTAGACCAAGCTGGCCTCAAACTCACAAAGATCCACCTGCCTCTGTCTCTACTGAGTATTGAGATTATTAGGCATGCACCACCTCACTCAGTAAAGTGGGTTTTAGACTAAGTTAACTATACAATTTAAGATGTTCATTCACACCACTAAAAGAACAGTAGAATGGCTCCTGGCAGAGGTTTAAAAAACAAATATGAAGAAAATCTGCTTCATTGAGCATTGTTGTGTATGCATTTAATCCTAACACTGAGAGACAGGTAGAGGGATCTGTTGCGCTCCACGCGGCCTGGGGTACACAGTGAAACCCTATCTTTTAAAAAAGGGAGGTGGGAGGGAGGATATAACTTGAAAACTTAAGACAAATTTTCATGTCATTCTTGCTCAGGGGAATGCTAATCTCTGCATCATTCCAATTTTAGTATGTGTGCTGCTACAGTGGGCAGTAATGTTAAAACCATGGGTTTTTTGTTTGTTTGTTTGTTTGTTTGTTTTGAGGCTAGGCTTCACTTTGTATCCCTGTAACAAGCTATATAAAACTGGCTGGCATGGAATTCAGAGATCCACCTGCCTTAGCCTCCTGAGTTTGGGATTAAAGTATGTTCCACCATGCCTAATTTAAGAATGTTTTCTGTTTTCATTTTTTAAATAATTTTTAATCTCTATTTCTGTGTATGTTTGTATGTGTTTGTGCCCTAAGAAGCCCAGTGAAGGTGCCAGAGTCTCCAGAGCTGGAGTCAAGGTGGTAGGTATTAGGCCTCCTGGTATGTGTGCTGGGAACCAAACTTGTATCCTCTGGGAAAAACAGCAGATGCTTCTCATCACTGAGCCATATCTCCAGCTTAACTTTTTTTTAATGATAGGGGAAAATCCAACCTTCACTATGAAAAAGAAAAGCTCTTTGGATGAAGAATAAATTGTGTTTTCAAGATTCAGGAGCCTGAACCCTGGGGCAGAACCATTAAAATGCTTTCCTTTCTCAAGTGACTGCCCTGTTCCTGCACTGTGTCAAACCTTCCTTTCTTACTGGCTATTTGGTACCAAAATGACACCTTATTAAAATGCTAAAAGATTTTGTCACTTGCTCTCATCAGGGAAAGTACATGCTTGTGTCAGTCCAGGTTGTATTTAGGGTTCAGTGTGAAACATTCAGCAAAGCTGGCTGGCTCGGCAGTTGGTGAACCCAGAATGTTCTTCCCACTTTCCCTCCTGACCTTTTTTCTCTTCCCTCATTTCCTTTTCTCAGACTGTGGCCTGGACTTAATTCTGAGACAGGGTCTCAGTAGCCCTGACCAGCCTGTAATTCAGATATCTGCCTGTCCCTGCCTCCTAAACAATGGATTAAAAGTGTGTGCCACCACACCCAGGGAAGGGCCTAGACTTTCAGAGTCTTCTTCTGGCTTTAGAAGTTTACACAGGAGCTGGTCCTAGTAGCCCAAGACTTTAATCCCACCCTGAGAGGCAGAGGCAGGTGGATATCTGTGAGCTCAAGGCCATCCTGGTCTAGATAGAGAGTTCTGGGACAGCCAGGGCTATAGAGAGACCCAGAAAAAAAGAGAAAGGGAGGGGAGGCGGACGGAAGAAAAGGGAGGAAAAAAAGGAAAAATAAAAAAAAGGCAAAAGTGTTTACACAGAAATTAGAAGCAGAGGATACACAACCTGCCATCAGCTTGGCTCCATGTTTGCCAGTTGAGTAGCTGATTGTGATATCCAGAGATACTGAAAAAATCAGTCCTAGAGAGGCATACGGAATCCTTGCCTCTTTGTGGTACAGGCATCTTACCCTATGGCAGCCTGAGACCACTCCCTTCATCCATGGTGCTTTGTAGGAAGGTGAGGAAGCTGCTGGAACTCATGTCTAGCTCATGTACTACCAGGGCTCAAGAGGAGCTGAGAAGGGCTAAAAGCCACCCCATCTTTAAAATCTCTGCACTAAAACCTGTTTCTGTGTCTTAAGTGTGCCCACTCCTGAAGGAGCCTAATAAAGATCATATGACCTAGGCTCCACATCTGTTCTGTGTATGTGATGGGGACAGACAGTGATCATGCCCCTGAGGCTCTGTCCCATCTCTTGGAACCACATGCAATTAAAAAGTGAGTACCTTCAAAATTAATCAATGGATGAGGAGGGGAAACATCAGCAAACATGAGCCAACAAACTAACATTACCAGAAAAAGCAGGCTTTGATGCCAGAGGCACTACTAAGTAGGATATAAAAGGTCACAATATCAAAGGGAAAATAAGTTTAATGTACCTAATATGGCCTCAAAAATACATAAAGCATAAGCCAGACGGGACGTTGGTGGCACACACCTTTAATCCCAGCACTCAGGAGACAGAGGCAGGCAGATCTCTGTGAGTTTGAGGCCAGCCTGATCTACAGAGCAAGTTCCAGATGGCCAAGGCTGAAAAACAAGACCAAAAAACTCCAAAAGCAAAAAAAAAAAAAAAAAAGCCCAAAAACAAAAAACCCTGGAAAGCATGGTTAGTTTTTATCCAGAGATATTTTTTTTTCAGTCATTTACAGAAATCAAGATCAGGGTGTAGTGTTTTGAACCTGTGATCCCAACACTCAGGAGGCAGAAGAAGGATGAGTTCAAGATCATACAAAGCAAGTTCCAGGCCAACTTAAGTGAGATCTGCTCTCAAAAAAAAAAAAAAAAAAAAAAACTAAAACGTACCCATCATTGCTGAAAACCAAAGCACCACATTTCAAATAACCTATTTTGTTCTATTTTGTTCAGACTGCTCTTAAAATCACAATACAGTAAAATAAAAGTAAATAATAAAATGATATATAATTTGTTGAATTTAACCTGGAGCTTTTTACATGTTATACAAAAACTTTAACTCCCAGCTATAATCGTGACCCTATAAAATGTCTTTGTAACCAAGCATGTTGGTAAATTCCTTTAATCCCTGCTGTGGCAGGCAGCTCTCTCTGAGAGAGCATGGTCTACATATTGAGTTCTAGAACACACAGGGATAGATAGATGCATAGTAGAACCTGTCTCAAAAAACCAAAACAACCCCCCCAAAAAATGTAAAAAGAATAGCCATTTATTGAAGAAAATGTAAAATTTGGACAAAGCAATCCTTCCTCCCATCCAAGTACTAACCAGGCCTGACTAGGTTTAGCTTCTAAGATCAGACCAGTTTGAGGCACAGGTTCAAGGCAATCTTTTCTATGAAAAGTTCATAACAAAGTTTCATCTGATTACCAACAAAAAACACTGAAGTTTAAAACTACAGTTGGTAATCCTGAAAGGGGAAATACAAAGAATACATACAATTACAGAAAAAAAAACACACCTGTGTAAAAAACAAAATGCTGAGAAACAAAAAATTCTATTCCTGCAAGATGTGAAAGGCCCCTGTGCATCCCTGAGGCTTCAGATAGCACAGCATCCTATACAACTGTCACTTGGTACCCGGGATGATTGGTTTCAGAACAACCACGACCCAAAAGCAATGGATGCTCAGACTCTTACCTAAAATGACAATATATTCATACAGAACTTATGTGTGCCTTCTCATGTACTTTATATCATCACTAGACTAGTTACACCTAATACTTGCTATACAGTATTGTTTAGGGAATGGCAAACAAAAAATTCTGTACAGATACAATTTTCTAGACATTCACATTTATATATGGAGGGAGGGCATGAGGCATGTGTGGAGGTCAGAGGGAAACTTGTGGGGCTTGATTCTCTCCTTCCACCATTTGGGTTCCAGGGATCAAACTATAGTCACCAAGCTTGAGGTCAAATATCTTTTACTCACTGAGCCATCTTCCTATCCCCAGATACAATTTCTAAAAAAAATTCTCTGCAAGAGCAACAAGTGCTCTTAACTGCTGAGCCATCTCTCCAGTCCATGTGAAGTAGTTCAAATGAAAGACACAGTTGGATGGATGTGGTAGCTGTGATGGCGACACACCTCTCACCTTAGCACTCAGGAGACAGATGCAGAAAGATGCTGGGTTTGAGGCCAAGGAGTGGATACACAACAAGACTGTGTTAGTTTGCTTTTTACTGCGGTGATAAAAACAGCATGACCAAAAGTAATTTGGGCACAAAAATGGTTTATTTTGCTTATACCACACATCAGTGCCTCATAAGGGAAGTCAGGATAGGAACTCAACGTAGGACTGGAGGTGAGAAATGAAACAGACTGCTTACTGGCTTGCCACCTCATGGCTTGTTCAACCTGCCTTCTTATACAACCCAGGACCACCTGCCCAGAAATGGCAACACCCACAATTGGCTGGGCCCTCCCTTATCAATCATCAATCCACAGAAAAGAAAAAATGCCCCATAGCCTTGCCTGCCAGCCAATCTGCTAGCAACAGTCTCAACCTACCAGTGGTGACCCCTTTGGAAGGTCTAAGGAAGCTTTCACAGAGGTGACCTAAGACCATCAGAAACACTGTATTAAATGGTGGGAGTATTAGCAAGGTTGAGAACCACCTTGCTAGAGGCTTTTTTATCAATTGAGATTGCCTCTTCCTAAATGACTGGAACTTGTGTCAAACTGAGAAAAAACTAACCTGTCTAGATACTCTATAACTAAGGCAACCACTTAAAATTAAGTGTATAAGTAAATGGTGAAAAGTAAAAAGTAACCTTAGAACTAGAATGCTGCTACAGGTGCTAAACTCATTTCTGTAATCTAGTACTTGGGAAGCTATGCTAGCTGGGGTGCACTGTGAGTTCCAAACCAGCCTAAGTTACAGAGTAAGACTCTTGCCTCAAAAAACAACAAAGTAAATGCTGATATACTCAATCTATAAAAGGCAGGGAAAAGGGGGGGGGATCTTTGAACATCTGTAAAAGGTAGAAAATAACTCATAAGATGATAGATTTAAGTGGAATCATCTTGGTAATCTTACACCAAAGCAGAGGCTCCAGTTAACTGGGTGTTTCCAAACAGCCAGCAGAGGGCTGGGGGTACTGGGTAGTGGAGTACTTGCCTAGCATAATAGAGTGAGCCCTCAGCCAAGAGGATCTTAGGTAGTTCCAATACTAAGAAATGGCAAAGGTTTGAACTAATGAATAAGCCAGTTGTCCTGATCTATATTTTATAGACAAACTGAAATGTTGAAATGCCATACTGTACTTTACCAAGCCTAATGGCTGGTTCAATCCTGAACTCACAATGAAAAGAGAGTTGACCCTTGGAAAGTTGCAATCTCTACAGGTACTCACGAGTATGCATGTCCATGCCCATACCCAACTCCCACTCACCACACTCACACATACACACAAATAAGTAAATAAATAAATGTAAATTAAAAAAATTAGGGCTGGGGGTGTAACTCAATGATAGAGCAGTACTCTAGTATGCATGGAGCCCTGGGTCTCAGTACTGTATTAAATAAATAAACAAATAAACAAATGTAACTGTTTTCAGTAGTTAATTAAATGTTTGGTGAGTGACAGG